CGACTATCAATTATTGCTAAATGATGATTGTACAACGTGTTCCTTCCAAAAAATTACGTTTATTTTTAATCCCATTTTCCCGTAGAGATTATATTTAGAACAGGCTACGTAACTTTAGAAGCGATTATTGGATATTCTGCAAAAGGAGAAACCACATATACATACAACAATAAAGGTTTGCAATAATAAGCTGAAATGATAGTAGTTCTAAATTAATTAAATAATAATTCTTCTGATGTTTATATACACATTTATAATACTATTTTATACTGTAATACGTGATTTCGATGAAATTTTCTCTTGCAGAAGTTTGATCATCACTAAATCAACTTCATTGTTTTGTGTTTTTTTCCTTGTTGTATAATACGCAGTCCGGAATAATTACTAGATTTTTTAATTTAATGAACGATATGTGTACATATATGGAATAATAGAAATTTCATTATTTAAAGACGACTTTCCCTTCAACTTGATTCTCTCCCAAGTAAAAAGTAATTTTAATTAATTAAAAAACGATCGTTATGAAAAAGGCTCCTAAGAGTCGTATCGTATCGAATATCACCCCAATGTATCTTGGCCAGGCTCTCTAATGTTAGATGAAAATAATGTCGACGAATTAATTTACCCTTAAACAAATTCCCGCCGCTCAAAAAATACCAAGAGGATGATCCACAAGATGACCCACAAGATGTAGTGCACGATATAAACACATTCTTTACTAACTTACAAGATGTAGTGCACGATATAAACACATTCTTTACTAACTCACAAGATGTAGTGCACGATATAAACACATTCTTTACTAACTCACAAGATGTAGTTCACGATATAAACACATTCTTTACTAACTCACAAGACGTAGTGCACGATATAAACACATTCTTTACTAACTCACAAGATGTAATGCACGATGAATTATTACAATTTAAACATTCTTTTTCCCACCATACAATGATTCATATAATGATTTTCTTTTCGATTCATATAATGATTTTTTTTCGATTCATATAATGATTTTTTTTTTTGATTCATATAATAATTTTTTTTTGATCTCTAGTGACGAACGGCTCTGTCAGGACCACGATTGGGACCTTCGGAGGATTTCCATTAAAAGAAGGAACAAGATTCGTTCAAGTTGCAGTCCGTTGACCCACAAGATGACCCACAAGATGACCCACAAGATTACCCACAAGATGACCCACAAGATTACCCACAAGATTACCCACAAGATTACCCACAAGATTACCCACAAGATGACCCACAAGATGACCCACAAGATGACCCACAAGATGACCCACAAGTAGACCCACAAGAAGACCCACAAGGTGACCCACAAGATGTAGTGCACGATATAAAAGCATTCTTACTAACTCACAAGAGTAATGCACGATGGATTATTACTCTTTTTTCCCACCATACAATGATTCATATAATAATTTTCTTTTCGACTCATATAATGATTTTTTTCGATTCTTATATGGATTTTTTTTCGATATTTATGATCCAGCTGCCCCGGATCACAATCACAAGGTCGTGAGTTCGAGTTCCACTGGGTGACGAACGGCTCGATCACGATTGGGTTCTTCGAAGGATTTCCATTAAAAGAAGGAACAAGATTCGTACAAGTTGCAGTCCGCTGACCCACAAGATGACCCACAAGATGACTCACCAGATGGCCTACAAGATGTACTGCATGATATAAAAGCATTCTTTACTAACTCACAAGATGTAATGCACGATGAATTATTACAATTTCAACATTCTTTTTTCCCACCATACAATTATTCATATAATGATTTTCTTTTCGATATTTATGATCCAGCTTCATAGAACACCGCGCCGACACGTGGGTCGATAACGCAGTGGTTAACGCTCCCGGGGACGTCATATGATGTACTTAACGGAGCATGAGCTATCTCACCAGTACGGTGACATTTAGAGGCCAAATCGCCATACCGGTGATCTCCGGGAAACGAGAACTCTGGCCTTTGAGAGATGTGAGAGATCCGAAGGTGTCCAAGGACCTTCGAGATGTGGAGGGAAATATTAATAATCGATTCAAATCGTTTTCTTTTTTCTTTTCTTTTCTTTTTTTTAATCGTTCACATAATATATAGATCGTTTTCTTTTTTCTTTTTTTTTTATTGTTCACATAATATGTACATACATATCTGACACCCTATAACACCTTATAAATTTTAAATTTAGTAACTACTAGGAAACGGAAGTCCGGAGCCTAGATTTTTAAACTATTTTCTATTATTAATTTTACTTTGTCATTATTTTAATTAAGACTATCTATGTAATTTTTGCATACTCTTCCAGAAGGAATTCAGTCATACTGTATTAGATATTAATGTTTATATTGTATTCTCTTTTTATATTCTCTTTTTAACGATTATTTCTTTGCCTTAAAAATATATTTATTATTCTCTTTATATTCTCTTTTTAAAGATTATTTCTTCGCATTAAAATATATTTATTATTCTCTTTTTATATTCTCATTTTAACGATTATTTCTTCGCATTAAAATATATTTATTATATATATTATTCTCTTTTTGTATTCTCTTTTTAACGATTATTTCTTCGCATTAAAATATATTTATTATTCTCTTTTTATATTCTCATTTTAACGATTATTTCTTCGCATTAAAATATATTTATTATATATATTATTCTCTTTTTGTATTCTCTTTTTAACGATTATTTCTTCGCATTAAAATATATTTATTATTCTCTTTTTATATTCTCATTTTAACGATTATTTCTTCGCATTAA